TTATAGATTGCTTATTATGATAGTCTATTGACCCAAAACCCTGTCAGGAACACAATGTCATGAATATATTTCTGTTCTGTGATCATAAATCCTGGCCCTGTATATGGCGGATCAATTACGCCAAAGGGTTTCTATTTTCTACCTTTTCTCCTATTCGTTAATGTCACTCCCTTTACCCTTAGTCAAAGCACAATGGCTGTTACCATCATGTATACCACCGTATTAGGTAAACTGTTACCTGCAATCACCGGTCTGCAATCCATGCCTGTAATTATTCAGCACAAGTGTTTTCTGTGGCAGCCAGCTAGCTGGAGGTATCGATTCTCCCAAGTGTGGATGTGCACAGATCATAGTATAGCGATGATGCCCTCTGGCTTGTGACTTGTGAGGCACTGTAAGGGGGATGCACAAATGGAACATTTTCTGTTTGGCCTAAATTAGCTTTGCTGTGTTTTGTTATATGCTACATGTACATGTACTGCCATACAGACCTTATTTTGGACTAGTGTTCAAGATAAACCTTTCAGTTGGTGTTGAAGATACTGATTACCCACAAACATGCATACATCACCCCAGTCTGAGGTTTTGTAGTGTTAGTTAAGGGTAGTTGTTCTTGTCCCACAATTTGGTAATTGCTTGTATGTACACATGTATGTTATATGTCCCTGTCATGAATGCAGATTTTGGGTCATTTGCCCACCACATGTTTTAGTGTTAAAAATGTTATGTCTACTGCCTCCATGGTGTTGTTCCAGTTTGGTCGTGTTTTGCCATGAACACAGTCCAGTGATGTACCAGGCCTTGAATTTGGACAGAATGTCATCGTTCTTTTATATGCCTTTATAGTTATACATAGAGCTGGTGTGGTCATTAAAGGTGCGGTCACATTTATCGTAGGTCCTCATAGGACTGCCAACAATGATTTCAGACAGCCTTTTTGGTAACAAGACAGCTGAACTGTTTATTGATGCATGCATACTAAAGTAACTATCCCAAAAATGTTCTCAGATCATAGTACAACAATCACACTACAAGTGACTGGGCCCTCAGTAATAACTATGAATGAAGCAAGGGGCTCAACAAAGCAGTTTTGCCAAAGATTTACTCAAGTGACAATATTACATGTACATTGGTTCTTGCATGGATGTAAATTTTTTTGATACCTATTCGTGTGATTTAACACATAAGGCAGCACGTATACAGTTTATTACTATTAGCTTTGTCATTTTTAAACAATTCCTTGTTATCAGGCTTTACTGATGAAAATATATTGCTCGTCATAGCCAAATCTGGCACAGCATGATGTAGGACTCTAAGCTACATGTATTTTCGACAAGCAAAATATGTACATTTTGTATCTTTCTTGAGTCATTTCTTTAAGTCCTTTAGAGTATGGAACATTGTCAAAAGTGACATAGAAACAATTCAATACAAAACTTCTAACATTTTCACCAACATGTGCTGTGTATCATACATATTGTTTTCCTTCCCACATCCACTCAAGTTTGTTGTCCTTAATCAACACATAGGTGTGGAAAAAGTGAGGAAATCCATGCTACATACTTGTAAGAAGCATTGATTTGCCAGGACCTACTGTAAATGCAGTGGTTTTGTTTTCACTGTTTTTGCAGTATCCTCGTTATGTGAAATCATCACACTGCAAATAGATGTTTTGTATTTCTGTAATTGTGCTACAGAATTGTTTACAACCTTCAAACACAAACTTCAAACTTCACAAACTTCAAACACAGTGAAAACCTCCTTTTTATACTGTGAAATAAACCCACAATGGAAGGAAATGCATCATATTTTACAGTATCTGGTGTGTGTGTGCGTTCTGCAAAACTTTCAAGATTAGCCATATCAGGTTTCATTTTGTATGTGAGGCATCCCCAGAAGGCATTTCTAACATGCCATAGATGACCACAATGCAATTTTACCTGTTCCTCAGATAGAATGCTTAAGGATATCTCAAATAAGAATGCCCCTTCATGTACATGTATTGCTGTTATTAGCACTACTCAAAGTTCAGTCAGAGTATTAACTGATCTTAAGCAGACATAGGTCTTGTCCGAGGTGCTGATGTTTGGGTGCTGTACCTGTACCCATACTTTGTGGAAAGTTAAAGAGTTTACCATTTTTGCTACAGATGGAAACACTCGCTCATATGGTAAGATATGGAACAGTTATCTTTCTCTAGTGTCAAAGTATTTGGGACGAGGATTTTGTCCAGCATTTTGGATGTGAGCACCTTGCGATGACACCTTGGCCCGTCTGGTGGGCGGTCTGTATTTTCCCTAGAGAGCTCTCCAGCACAGGTAGATGACCAGTCCAAAGATGATGAGGACAGCCAGAGTTTCCTTCACCAGCTCCTGAAACTCCTCAGGGTCAAGGTCGGACAGCGGGGACAAAACAGTTGGCCGTTCGTTTCTCCCGACATATTTGCTTCCCATTTTTCCTGCGAGGCTCACAGAACGCATGGATTAGACGTCGCGAGGGGTCCCCGTGTGAAATCCCATCTCAATGTGGGGTGCAATGGTCGTCCCCTGCTGCTGTACAATAACACTCCATCAGTCAGGCCAAGGACATCCTTCATACCACTACACCGTCCTCCTACATTAGCCAACAGGGGCGATTGTCTGAAGCTTGTCTAAGAATATCCCTGGTCAACACATTCCCAGACAGAAATGGCTTTTTCCTGTAGAAAGAAATGGTAGATGATCAGGATGCATATCAGAACAAGCATACATGTACATAAAGGTGTAATCAATGTTATGGGTACATGTATGTACCCCTTAGCTTCACAAGAAAGGTTACATAAGCTGTGGTCCAAACATGGGGGTTTACCTTAAAACATGTAAGTGTACCACCTAGGAGTGATCTGGTGTATTCTTTGCATATATAACAGCCTTGCTATAAGGATAATGTAGGTTAGTCATCTGGCCAACAATGTGCTAGGTAATGAATTATTATACAGATATTGCTAATGCTACTATGTATATACTTGACTGGTTTAATTTCTCTCTCGCCTGTCATTTCTCCATCTCTACCTATAGTACAGAGCAAGACATTATCATTCTGAGGCATTGCTATCCAGGCATCACTCATGGGACACCGCACAAAGCTGTTTTTCTGCACTTATCCCTGTTCAGTTTGCAGTTACAGAAATCAATATGATGTAAATGGAGGCTGCTGGATTCCCACTTGTGACAAGCCATCAAACACGGTATCACCTGCTGCACAACGTGCCAGACTATATTAGTGCTGGGCTCAAAAAATTCAACTACCTGTTCATTATTACATGTATATATGGGGTTTCTTGTGACTGATACATTATCAGTGGCTAGGTGGTATTGTGTAGACAATATTTTCTTGATATATATTAATGTTCACACTAAATGACTGTTCTACACAAATCCTTCCAGACATTCTGAGAAAGAAATGAAATTGCTAGGTTCTCCCTCCCATCATATATTAGTGTTCACCACAACTGCATTAAGAAGATAGATGGCAATAAGTAGCCAGCAGATTTATATAGTAGGCCACTACACCATTTTGTGTTCCACACTGTAGTAAGATTCACCATCTACATGTACTGTTAACACTGCAATCCCTTCAAATAAGGTAGTCTTGTTGATCCAAAATTACACACATCTTGAGCCGGAGATGTGCAGGTTATAAACATCAGCATCATACATGTCAACAGAGTGTCATCACCACACAGATATGCTGACATCATTTCCCTCCTGTCCACATGATGCCTACCTTACCTCGTGATGCCTAATCTCAGGTGGCATCTCCTACACATGCATCATCTCCCATTCCATGCACACCACCACCATTCTCCCTGTGTTCCATGGGTGCTCTGCAATTACTTAGCATAAGACTGCGCCGCGACTACATATGAGAGCCGCACTTCACCTCGGGCAATGGATCAAAGTCAGGAATGACAACGTGCACTAACACACCTTATACTTGTGTTATACGTGATGCCTTGTGTGTATTTTTGTTGCCTTCAAATCATTTTGCCAAAGCCATTATTAATGGTGGGCTGAGGTAAATGGATTTTGTGGATCTTGAAGCTCAACTCAATGGACACAGGGCTGAGTGATAGATGATTTAAACCTTATTCTTTACTGAAAGTTGAGGTTTTTGGGTGTGAAGTGTGGTAATCAGGGTGTTACCTACTGACCCATCAACCCATCATTTAACCTCAAAATTCAGGTCTGGATTAAGACCATTTGTTTTAAGTACATTGCAGTTTGTGGTGAAATCTTTTATTTTCTATTCTCACTTTTGTTATAACCTATAATCATACAGTTTTGGTGCAAAATGCTGTATCATCCGGGGAATAATGAAAAACGTAGCAATTCCTTTTATCCCATTAAATTATGAACCTTAAGGTATGCACTTGCTCTATGATTGGTTGTGGCCAATGGCAGGCAGGAAGTATAGATCAGCTGCGCCCGAGCCAAAGAACAGGAATGGTGTATTGAAGTCCCAGGATTGGGCTCCAGCCAAGCAATTATAGATGGTCCAGGTCACGTAATATGTCAGGCTGCTGCTGGTGTACCAGACATGACTCACAAGAACTTGTCTGGTCCTGTTATGGTTTGACAGTTTTTAATCTGTGAGAATATTGATACAGTCTGTAGAAACCCACTGTATTACATGCACACTGTATACTGGCAATGATATCTGTCAATATTGTCATACCTACCAGTACCATGCAGACATGACAAGTCTTTTACATCCCCTTTCTACTAGACCCCTGAGTAATCAAAAACAGATCATTCAACAAATTCCATACAAAAAGAACAAATTTTTTTCACATTCTGTATCTTTTAAATCATTCATAAACATCATATGGATCATGTTCCAATTTCAAAGTCAAGGGTCATAGGGCAGTTAATTAGTAATTGATGTTTAGTGTAAATGGGGCCTTACAAAGAAATTATATTCTCCATGTTGTAACAATATCTCATTTCTTCACACTACAGGCAATACACTTGGTATGACGAAAAGGGGAAAAAGACGAAATGTTCTGCAGCACAATATGTAGACTATGTGATGTCTTTCATGGACAAGCACATCACCGACGAATCTGTCTTCCCTACAAAATTTGGTATGTATACAATTCTAGTGTGTCCTATTCCAACTCTCAACTGCATCTATAAAGTGCCCAGTTTCCTTTACCAGCTTGTTGTGTGGTCTGATGTTATGCCGTAAACAGTCCGCTACAGTGATTGCACTTGAGGTGAAAAACTTATTCTTGATGACATTACTTTTTTTGTAAGGAATGTGGATAAAATTTTTGGCCAAATTTTTTGGGCAAAAGAAACAGAAAAAGCTTTGCATATTGCAGGACTGTATTTGACAGAATCCTTTCCAACGTCCTCAAAGACCAAATGATTCAACTGTTTGCCCTGGGGAATAGACTGATTCCATAGCCCTGCCCACCTCTGTCAAAACATAGAAATGCACTTGTTCATTTGTCGAAGAACTAATTGTCATGCTATCATTGGTTGAACTTTTAATTGTGATGGACAGTCCGACAGTCATACATGTACATGTACATATAAACATTCTGTTTGTGTTCCCCTTTCCAGGCCACACCTTCCCCAACGGTTTTGAGGCAACAGTGAAGAAGTTCTTCAGGTTGCTGCTGCATGTGATCGCCCACATCTACCACGCCCACTACCGGGAGCTGGTGCACCTGGACGTCCATGCACACATGAACTCTGCCTTCGCACATTTTATCCTCTTCACCCACCAATTTAGACTGATCGACCCGAAGGAGACTGTCGTATTAGATGATCTAGTAGAAGCCATGCACATTTTCCCCTCAGAAAAGGACGATGTTCAAGACTCAGAAAAGCAAGATGCGAAGGAGTCGTCGTGAGGAGTTCTGGAGAAGGGGGAGGGGGGCATGATGTACCAGGCCGACTGCTGCTTCTCCATGTACACTTGTGCCTCCTGTGGTGGTGTCAAAACGCTTCTGGCGGACAGAACCATGTTGGATAAGGAGGGGTGGAAGGGTGGCAGTGGATTTTAAGTAGGGGAAGGGACATGCTACTGCTCTAGTTGCAATACTTCATCAGAGCTACGTGTGTGTATTAGGAATATGGCCTGGCAACTAACAAAAGTATAGAAGTTCACGTCTGTAGTGACCAGACTGTAGGCATGCCCATTGCACAGATCTCTGCAGCATTGCTGCTCCACAAAATGATGACAACAGTCTTGTCACTTTAAAAATACTAGCATTGCTCTACTGCATGGTCATGAGGCTAGTGCCACCTAGGGATGCTGGATGGAGCTGCAGCAAAGCTATTTCCCAGGGCTTCTCTCTATGGCTTGGTGACAGGAAAAAAGTGTCAACCTAAAGACACATCATAGAACCTTCTGTCAGGTGAACAGAGGCATAAAATTAACTATTTTTTCTTTGCAGTACAAAGTGTATATGTTTGTGACTATCCTGAGAGAGTCCACATTAGTAAGGTGAGAAGTTTAACATAGGGCATGAAATGGTAAAGACATCTCAGAAAAATGCACAAGAGTTGGAATTACATATATGGACTGAACAGACTGTTGCATGGGTACAGGTCTCTACATTACCATACAAACAACAAAACAGTCCCAGGTAAGTTTGGATAATGGCACCAGACTGGACAGAATACCCACTTTGGTTCATACAGATTAGCCTTATATTGACATGTTAGTTACAATTTTTTGCAGTCAATGATATTAGTCTATTTGCATCATAATTATGACTTGAGGGTGGAGCTGGTAGGGCTTTGGGCCAGACTTGCCTCAGCAGGGTTGAGTGAGAACATGACCCCAGGTATTAGGTCATGACCCCAGGTTAGAGGTCATGATCCAAGATGTTACAGCATGACCCCAGGTGGGAGGTCATGACCCTAGATGTGCAGCAGGGAATGATGATGTTGCTTATGGTCAATCTATGTATTAGTTTGTTATATATGAATATATATGTATGTGTAGAAAGGGACAATTTTTGCTATTCTTTATCCTAAGGGAAATGTTTTCTGTTTTTTAAGATGAAAGGTTCACTGTGTAACATTGTGAGGTGTAGAAGGCGGACATACATGTACACGTACTTCAATGCTTACAGTTTGCCCCCATGAACAAGTGAAAGTACTTGTGTAGGTATACTCTGGTGCAATGTCAGGGTTCCACAAGTTGTTTAGTCAATGGGGGATCTTTTCATAGCACTGAGTATATCCTTGGTATGGTTTAAACCACATAGGTGAATTGTTCCAAAACTTGCAGTCTTGCAGTACACAGTACAACAAATGTTACACAGGGTACCTTTAATTCTGGTGAAGCCAAATATACTGTCAATCATGAAACTTAAGTGGTGGTTTTATTTCGTGGTAGGAGGGAAAGGGAGATTTTCTTGTTGATACAAGTCTAGTACATAGTCATACAAGGAAAACATACTTGCAGTCTCATGAATTTGTGTTGAAAAAGTCACCGCAAAAAACACAAAACTAAAACCACAGCAAAAGTTTCAAGATTCACAGTACTTTAAAGGAACTGGTCAAGGACCATAGCATGACTCTCACCTTGAAGACTTCATTTCTGGAATGAATAATACGGCAGTTCCCAAGCAGTTCTCTGTTCATCTCTGGAAGTTAAGCTGATTTTTAAACCAAAATATTAAACTTGCCGACAATCTGTGTTCACACCAATCAGACCATGTCACCGGGAATCCAGAGAAGGGGCTGCACTAATTGCCTCCATAGAGGTGATTAGTACAGCCCCTATTGGGAATGCATGAAGAACTGAGAACTAGATCTGAGGATCCAAACTGAATGTGTCCAATCTACAAGTTGACTCTTCCAAGTGAAAGTCACACTGAAGTCCAAGACCTAGTCCCTTTATGCTTGTTGGTGCTTATATTTTTTATGTATATTTAAATGGCAGGAGGACATTTTCAGTCCAGTCTACATTCAACACAATCTTGATGTCCATGTGTGCTACATAACATAAAAGAATTATGGCAGGAAAAAGGAGATTACTGCATCTGAATATTTTTGGTAATGCTCAGGGGCAGAGCCGTTGGTATATTACTACAAGTGAGTTGTTGATACTGGTAGTTGGCTTTATAATCCAAAGTGCCCCTTTAATGAGAAGCAGGGAGGTTCCCTTCTGTGTTGGGCCGTGTTCTGGGTCGTTCTCAGACAGACAGGGGGATCTCTGCCTCCACGGACAGTCGGCCCGGCATAGCGGTCCCGCTCGTCCTCCACAAACCAGGACGTTTTACTGCCCTTCTTACTGATCATGGCCCAGGACGTGCGGAGTGCTGAAGATCAAAGGGAAACACAAACAATAACCATCATGCTAAAAGCAGTTTCATCATCAATCGAGACTAAAAATAACTATAATTTTAAGGAATCATCATATGATGATACATTAAAAAGAAAAACAAATTTTGTTGACCTTTCATGGTGCTTAACTTGCCAAAATGGGCAAATATTTGTAAACTTCTGTCGGTTCTGAGACCGCCAGGGATCCAGCAAACTTTTGCTCGTGTTTGAAGATGGCAAATGTTGAAACTCCATCGAACATGAATACCCAGTAGTAGCAGTATACCCATGATGATATGGCAAGCTCTTTTCTACAATTGTTCTAGTTAATCATCATGAACACACCTTCCAGGACAAGTAATACAGTTGAATACCTGTTATTATGTTTTGTCGCCTCCATCCTTGTTTAATAACGTTCATGATTTGAAAATTAGGAATCTTGTGTTTTTTATCCGCCTTGATTTTTTCGCCCTATCACGTTAGTTTTGGAGACTGCAGAGGATATAAGCCACAAGATTTACTTGCTGTGGCCTAGCGTTACCTTACAGTTAGTGTCACATATATGCAAGACGTGGACGAGCACTACACTCCATGTGCACTATGCAGTAGTTTGTGGCACATACCGATATCCGGTGAGAAGGAACCCAGAGAGCTGAGTTCTGCCATGGCGTCACCAGAGTACCTACTTCCCTCGTCATGCACGGCGATCAGCACAATACGACCCTGCGTAACACCCACACGTCGTAAACGTACTGAGTTCCGAACTTTCACCCAAGTCACATGCAAGTTATTTTTGTTGAAGGTTATAGTGGGCGACTTTACAGCCGTATCCACGTTACTTCATATGAGATTTCATGTTAATGCCCATGTCACCTTGGCTTTTACTTCTTCGCGCCATATCTTAAAGGGTTTGAGACAAAGGATCCCTATAAATCAATACAATTATCCCTAAAATTGAAGAGACCGCACGTACCACTGGAACCCCGCGGATGAAGTCCCGCAGCGCCACCCCGGCCGCCGCGTCACCGTGAGTGTCAAACCGTACGGAATGTTCCATCTGCCCCGTCATTTCGTTCACCGTCACCAGGTTATAGCCACGGCCTGAAAAAAAAGCAAGTTTACAGCAACTTATGTATACACACAGACAAGCCCTGCTGCTATCATTTTTGTCATACTGCAAAGACAAAATGCATGTAACGAAGGAAAAGTTACCATTATAATGTGACGTCATAAATTCTAACGACCTGTAATAGCGATAGTTCCTGTACAGCACCAAAGACGTCTTCATGTCCTTGTAGTGTATGTTCTACTGTATTGTTTTATTGGAAACAAGTACCGTTCATGGCGTGCTGAACGCCATCCACCCAGACTTCGGCCCTGCCCCCCAGGTAGCCGGGATCATCAAAGCCAGCAGAAAGAACTTTGACACTGACGGTGGTCTTTGGAACTACCGGCACTGGAAAAAAAATCCTCGTAAATGTCACATCCCACCACTGTCAGGCGGTCCTACATGGTACTGTATTTGTCTATCCATGAAAATAACGATTTGGCAACGCATTGGCTGAATTATAGCTGGATAAATAACAAAGATGTATGAGCAATACAGCAATACAAACTTGACACGTAAACCTCAGAACTGTGTTCAATAATAACTAATCAGCACCACGGACATCACTTGTGTGTGCAAGAATAGCCAATCAGCACCACGGACATCACTTGTGTGTGCAAGAATAGCCAATCAGCACCACGGTCATCACTTGTGTGTGCAAGAATAGCCAATCAGTACCAAGGACGTCACTTGAAAACTGCCAACATTTTAGCAGACACAAACTCTTATCCATTAATACACGTCTGCCGTTACCGGAAATGTTTTTCAGTTGATCCTGTAGGTCGGCCGCTACCATCAGTAGTGACGTCACTTGTGTCCGGAGTGCGACGTTCTCTATGGTCAGATTGTTGGCCTCGCCCTGAAGTGACGTCATCTGTGTCCGGAGAGCGGTGTTCTCGGTGGTCAGACTGTTGACCTGTGCCTGCACGTCCGCTGAGTCCGCCTCCAGGGTCTGCACCCTGCCCGACAGCATCGTCACGTCTTCCGCGTACGACGTCGCCTCGCACACGCCCTGGCCTGGGGGAACGGGCAGGAGGGTCAGAGCATACAAGAAAGACTGGAGGAATAACGTCAACATAAAAGATATAGTTTTTACATATTAGGTATCCAGTTACCTGTACCTGCTTCCAGTAAAATGCCTAGAAGACCAGCCCCTGATGTAACCTTCATCTTGGAGATTCATCATTACCAAACCCAGAAGATTGGTGACTGCAGTAGTTTGTTTTTGCAATATACGCCTTGTGCATGAGAGGGCTAGGGCTTAAAAAGGTAAGTGTTTGCAAGACGTATGCACATCTGTGACATGTTGTCGCATACCGGAGCAGCACTGTGCGATGTCCGCCAGCCTACAGGAGTGGACATCGTCGCTCCAGAAGTAGCCGTCCGGACAGCGGATCTGGTAGTCCCGCCCGCCGTGACACAGGTGGTAGACCGTACAGTCCTCCAGGTCCGCGTACACACCGTCAGACCGACCCTCGCACTGGATGGCTGGGAGGGAAGTGTGCAAGTATATCGACTGATCTAAATTTGTTGCAAATATTCAATAGATGTTTCTCGAGTCATTTCCGAAATTGCCACAGAACTAGACTAGTGTTTTCATTCCACATTTCATGTACACATTCATGGCACATTACTCCGCTCTTCATGAGGTCAAGGGAAGTATTTTTTCAGTAGCCTCAATTATTCACATACAGATCGAACGGAGGTTACGTAAATACAAGCTGCTTACCTTAGTAGTGGAGAACAGTCTAGTATTAGAAAATCTAACGTTACCTGACCCTTGGCCGCTCGCCGTGGCCGTCAGGATAGCAAGACAGATGAACAGCAACATGTTCCTCTCACCTGCGGTTTACACAGGAAAACTTCTTAAAAGCTTCAAGGGAATTCAGTTTTACCGGTACCAAGACGTGACTTCATCATCACTGATCCTCTACAAGTCACTACTTTTCCCGCGATCTTGAACATTTGAAGGAAAACCACATTTCATACAACATCTGCTTCATCCAACATTGACCAACATCTATGAAAATCTCCCCAAAGTGTCCCAAAAACTCAGCCAAAGACGACTTCAGTTTGCTGGTCATTGCTATCGGGCGGATCAGGAGGTCATCTCCTCACTTATCCTGTGGAGGCCCAGGGGGAAAACACACTGCAGAAAACTGACCTACCCCAGTGTTCTCTCACGAGACACTGGGTACGACATTGAGGACTTAAAGTCAGCCATGGCAGATCGGGAGATGTGGGCAGGAGTGGTGCAGCGGCAAACCCCGTCCCCTAGGGGGGTCGACTGATGATGATGATGATGAATTACAGTAGTTTCACGCAACTTTTAAACTACTTCAATGCTAACGTTACACGTACTACAAATGTATTTAGAAACAGTACCCTGTATCATACTGACCACCAATCCCTTCCACTTCCACAAACCGATATTTTTCTGCACGTCAGTTCTAGACTAGTGCTGGAACCGCTTTAGCACAATTTTTCAAAATTCCTTCACATAAATGAGTTTGAACGCTGGATTGCAAAGAAGTTGTCGAAGATACTGGTACTTACAGTCGCAAATACCACACCCCAACTTGCAGGTCTGTTGCCGTAACTGACTTAGAGCTATGACGCAGCACAGGTAGCGTTTATGGCACGTTTCGAAGTAATTCTCTCCGGGCAAAGTTAAGCAGATTACTGCCAGGGTGTCGACATTACATTAATTCCTCGCTGGTGCTATGATATATAGCTGGAATATTTATGACTAGTTTCTGAAAAGTATAGTTGCAATATAATTTGTCTTTCGCGCTGTTTATATTTCCATTTGTTCGGGAAACTACTAGTATACTTTATTCGATGACGCATTAGCAATGCACCCCAACACCTTCCACCACAGAAACAGTTATTTTGAATGCTGCAGCTAAAGACTGTTTGTTTGCCAGTACAAACAGCTATGTTTAGACAGGAACACTGATATCGACTCACTGATGTGAATATTGCCAGATGATCAGTAGTCTAAATATGTACAATCTCAACGGGACGCTCGTGCCCACAAAAATAAATACCACAATAATCACAGAGTATACATGGAATATACCCATTGCATATTCTTCTGCAATATCATTTTTGATAATTGTTATAACATTTGCCAGGATGAGATGATTTACATGAGCTATTTTGATACTGCAGCACAACTCGAAGTCGAACGCTAACATAACTATTTAGTGTTAAAAATCAATCCCGCAAAGGCATACTTGAAGTATTGAGCTATGTCTGTTAATGTTATACATGTAGCTCCATGATTGAAGTCAACCGAAAGTTTATTATACGAGATCAATCATCAGTACTGTGTTGTGCAACTGGGAACCTAAACCGCTAGATGTCACTGCTACAATGGTCCCGTTGCCTCACGCACAGCTCAAGAGCAAACCATTGAGTCATTGGGGTGGAAATAATATTTTGTAACGTAACGTTAGTGGTTTTATACTGTTTTAGAAGACGTTTGAGTTGCAGAGATATCATAATATTCATAAGAACAATGTTTTTTTATTCGACTATTGTACGAGAGACAGCGTTTACTGCCTCTATTTCATTCGTTCAAAGTTGGGTCAGTGGTTGGGTCCAGATAACACGACACGACCTCTGACCCCAAAACGTCAGGTTCCGACAGAGCACTGGCCGCTAGTGCAGTTTTGTTGACGTCTGCATGTCGTAACGAAGATTAAAGGTAAGATCAAGGGGGTTAAGGAAGCTGAAGGATGCAAAAAATTCGTGTCTTATGTTATTTTCCTGATGGGTCCATAATTCCTTGACATATTTTGCTCGTTGGTGGGGACACGCTCCCTAGTCTAGGCTGGTATTATAACGTTACCCAGGGTGTACTCAATTTTTTTTTTGTGACTGATCAAGTAATGATTTATTAGATTTTCTCTGTCCCGTCTATAGCTTGGTTTAACAATTGAAGGAGCTCCGCATGTTTTATCTATTCACAACAGTTCAGAGCTAAGGTGAAGATACAGCTACACCAAACATGGCTCTGCTGGCAAGAGGAGTATCCAGAATCATCGCTTCTGGGCAGGCAACTAAACTTGTGTCGACGACAAGCATGAAGTCCCTGAGCTGTGGAAGAGGCTTGCCATTTGCTGTGTCCCGGCTGGCCTGTTCTTCTGTGGGCTGTGCCGGGGGGACTGCGGTGCCCCAACCATCGCACAGGTGGTTCTCGACACCAGCTGCAGAAAGTGCCAGGACTGCTTCTGTTATTGAAAAGGTAAGTTAAATATTGTTCTGGCTAGCATAGTTATGGTGTAGGAGACTCCTACACTGCAAATATGTATTTATATAGTGCTCTATGTATAAGAGACTGTATTATCTGAGACACAAAGTAATGTACAGAATGTCTCTTGCAGATTCTGTTTATCGTACACATGCTTTACTATGTAGTCCCTGTTCACTATATAAAGTAGAATAGGGTAGATATTAGACTTGTTATATAGTACTGTTGAGCAGTTTGCTGTACAGTGTACTGGTAACGTTATCTGATATCCATTACAATTGATGTGCAATAAAGTAACGTTACATGATGTGGAAAAACCCATATCTTGGAGTCATACTCATAGTCACCACTGTTCATGGCAAACAAAACCAGCATCTCTTTCCTATAGAAAACCTGTCAAAGTTTTGAAAGACAATACATAATATGATTTTTATTGACATGAAAAGGTAAGGCTGGATTCGAGTGGGGTGGTAGAAGTGGAATGGTCCAATGGAGGGGTGAGCAGCTTCCCCTATGTGTGGCTGCGAGACAACTGTCAGGTAGGCTGCTTTACTCTTGTCATCACTTCAACAGTTACTGTTTTGTCTTGTCAAACTTTGCACTATTTTATATAAATTGATGCAGATCTGTCTCAGGAAGTGCCTCTGCCTATCAAATATAAATGTCTGTCTGTCACCACCTTACAGTGTGAAGACTGCCACAGTGCTATGACTGGTTTCCGCTGTGTGATGATCAAGGATATTGACCCATTTATTGCACCAGTCACGGCAGAGGTTGTGGGTAAGTTGTACCTAACTGTAGTCTAAGTAGATCTTCTCTAGTGAGAAATTCACAATGATGAATAAAACAAGACATTCATATCTTAAAGATGGTAGCCAGGGCTAATTCTATGACTGGTTTGATCAAAAGAACAGTCGGGTTCAACTCTAGCACTGATGTACGCAAGGCACTGTACACCACATTGGTGAGAAGCATCTTAGAATACTGCTCACCTTTGTGGTCTCCTCAGTCCCGCAAACTCATGTCCCTTGTAGAAGGGGTGCAACGGTGGGCGACAAAATTCATTCTAGGAGCCCAATCGAACACCCTGACCTACAAGGAACGTCTCTCCACCCTTGGTCTGTTGCCTCTTGCGCACAGGTGTGAAGTTTGCGACGTCATGGTGTTTATTAAGTCTAAACCAATTGTTCACAAGTATGTATCCTTCCCTTCCAGACCCTCTAGATACCTCCGATCGCACATGCTTACCCCCATTAGAGTAAAGACATCAGCCTTCAGCTCTTCTTACATACCAAGGCTGGTCACCATCTGGAATCAGCTGAGTCCTGTCCTCCGTAATATTGGGGTTCAAGCCTCTGAAATGTCCAACATCTTGACATTCAAGCGATCGCTTGTGAGAGCCACGTTTATGAGATTTGACACCCAGTTCAATATCGACGTTCCCTGCTCCTGGTCCACATCTTGTGGGTGTGCCTCATGCACTGCTTTAAGGCCGCATTAGTATCATAATTAGCTTTTTAATCTGTACATAATAACATTTGATAATTTTTGTACATAATCAATTCTGTGTATAACTTTTACCAAATTTTATATTTCATGTCTACTGATTTTTGATGTCTTATGTCAAATGTTTATTGTTTGACTTGGTTCCGTATTGTTTTGTATTATCATTTCAGGTTTGGGAGGACAACTTGTAAAGGCGTTGATACACCTGTTTTGTCCTCCCTTCCACTTGTTGTTGCATGTGGTAAATTCAAATAAAGAAGAAATAAAGAAAGAAATATTCACAGCATGTGAAATCTTTGATTTCTTATTTACCAAGTGAAATTGTATGGAAGCACGCACAGAGAATCACACAGTACATGTTCTTTTTTATAAAGATGGCAAAAGCATTCAGCTTGAGTGGCCGGATGGACACAGGAGTGAGTTTGAGTGGCAGTGGCTACAGGACAGGAGCTTTACTCGGGAGGCACGGGAGCAGAGGAGGGAGGCCAAACGCAGAAAGGTAGACATGAGCTTAGACATGTAACATCTACTAACATAATTCTGTTTGGTCACATATACTGTATGTGCTACTGTGCAAAAAAACATCTACAGAGATCTCCAATCCAATGACTTCCAGTGTGATGCACTCCTTTACATCTAAACTGTACATCTCCTTGGGATTACTATACTAGAGATCTCTCTTTTTATGATAGATCAAATTCAGCTTTTGTGTGTTTTGATAAGCAAGACAATAAAGATGTGTAATTGCTGCAGGGAAAATATTTTCTTGTGTTGGGTTACAAAAAAGAAAAACACACAAAGAAAACTATCAGGTCAATCATTTAAAAGTTTAGGGAATGATGAATCCTTTTTCTTTCATCATATTCCTGCTGCCCAACCCCATAACCAATAGAGAATTGGTAGCTAAACAGCTACTTCAGTGTGCTGAAGGCAAAGATAACTCTTATTACCATGTATTTGTTACCAGCTGCAGCTGTGGGGTTCAGAACAGCTGAAGAAGCTGCAGCCTGTGGACTTTGAGGCGCTGATGACAGATGAGATGGCCTTGTACGAGTTCTTCAACATCGTGGACACCGTGGGCCTGGCCTTCACAAATAATGTTCCCTGCAAGGTCGGACAGCAACAGAGGCTGGCAGAAAGGATCGCCTACCTGCGACCAACTCACTACGGGTATGGTGAAAAGATTTGCTCAGTGTATGTAGATAGATGTCAGGCATATAAATTATGATGGATACTGTGTTGCCCTGTTTTTGGAGAGTCGCTCCTATGAGCTGTGTTGTTCTTATAATCTATGACATTCTTAGAGATGGGACAGACATAAGAATATACATTTGAGCTTAAAATACATGTACATGTGTGCGTTAACTTTTGTTCTGTTAACCCTCACTGGAACAATCCTTTATTTTTCAGTCTCCATGAAAGTTCAGTTTACTCCAAACCAAACACCAGTAACCTGGCATTTACTGGCCAGCGTCTCCACTGCCACACAGACATGCCTCAGTACTCCTTACCTGCAGGGGTAGGTGCTTCAGTCTGTTGACATCACCTATTGCTTCCTTTAATCATGCTGTTACATGTATAAAGAGAGAGCTTTGCATCTGTGTCCTAAAACAGGCCACATACAATTTCTAATGTTGCCATAATCAGCAACAATACAAAGTGGTAAAAATGTAGTGTGAATGATTAATATCTATCATCAAATAGAATACATTAAATCTTGAAATATATATACTGTTTTTATTTGCATTTTTTTTTTGCTGTGCCTCTCTACCACAAAATCATGACACTACAAATATGTATTTTTGTACTACAGTATTGCAAGGAGTTTAAATACCTTGAGTATTGTTTTGATGAAAAACTTCAAACACTGCAAAACACTTTTTACTCCTGCTTTACAATTAATCCACCAAAAAGAAATGAATTTACATTACATGTAATGACAGGAAGGAAGCTTGTATCTAGGGGTCATGTCAAGACTTAAATGTGACCATTGCCATAAACTTAACAATGCCTTTCACTCTTTCAGGTTTTACTGCTTCACTGTGTCCAAGAGGCTGAAGAAGGTGGAGAAAATGAGCTAATTGATGGATATAATGCAGCCTATCAGTTGAAAGAAAAAGATCCTGAAGCCTTTCACACTTTGACAACCACGCCAGTATCGTTTGCCATGCACGGCAAAGATTACATTCGATATGATCTGGAAAAGACACGTCCTATTATCAGGTACATGTACACAATTATACCAAGTGACTATATATGAATAATAAAGGTAAAGGTAAATGTAGTCCCATAGCCTTTCTGAGGCTGTCAGGGGAGTTTTTTTGTCAATTCACTGTGTCTAGGGCACAGTACTGGAAGGTGGAGCCTATCCCTTTCCTTCCACCACCTTTTACCTCTGAACAAAAGTCAGGTACCCATATTGCATATAGGTGGAGGAAATCATGTAATGGGCTTTTTCCAAAGACACAATGTCTAGCTAGAAATATAAGGAATCAAACCTGTGATCTCTCGATCTTGGGTCCATGCACTAGCCTAGCCACTCAGCCATTGGACAACACACAGTGTGTGACTGACATTGTCCTGTTGTCTTCCAAGTTTGAATGAGAAAGGAGAGGTTGCTCGTATCTGCTATGCCAACCAGCTGCGCTCTGCTCTGATGGACGTGCCGGTGGAGCGGGTTCAGCCATTCTACAGGGCCATGAGGGCGTGGGACGACATTCTGTACCACCCAGACAACTGTATCCTCATGAAACTCAATGCTGGTAAGTGCTGTGTTTCATTCGTATTAACTGCAAGGCTAAACATTCAAATCTAAGAGTAGGTGCACTGACACAAGTGCACAGAAAAGATTTCGGTTTACAAAATATCAAAAATATACACAACACTACCTTACTCTAGCCAGGAATGCAAGAAAAAAACCCATCTTAATCTCTTCTCTGTTTGCCTAGCCACTCAGTCATTTGACATCACATCAATTTCTACTTTGTTAACTTTGTTCACATTTAACATCACATCATGACCCCACAGCATCTTATGTTTATAATGTGTTTTATTCCCCAGGAGAGATGGTGGTGTTTGATAACTGGCGCCTGGTGCACGGCCGGCGGGGTTTCCAGGGCGGACGCCATGTCCAGACGGCGTACATGGACTGGGACGAGGTGCGCTCCTTCCTGGGCGTGGTCAGGAGAGAGCGGAACCTGGACAACTGACGGCTGCCTGATGGCCACTCATTCTAATGTAGAGTGGAGGTTTCTTTTTACAGTCATCTCCTCTCCTTAACATGTGTGCGTGCTGTAAATTTACTCTGTCCATTTTGGCTTGAGATGGTCAAATGTGACTTCACAACTTTTATCCAAAATTATCCAAAAATCATCATTTCAGCATAAACAGCAAAAACTCACACTTTTCAATTAAATAGAAGATTGCATGTGATGCTAAATGCACCCTTGGACATGCAGGCAGTCCTAATTCTTCACAATTATGTAAAACTGTGTAAGTACTTCTAAAGCATGAGGAGGTTCAAAATCCTATTTTTATGCTGAAATACTGATAAGACATTTGACAAGTACAGCACAGGTTGGACTGTAGTTGTTCTGTGCCTACACAGTGACAGAAAGGAAATGGCTTCATGATTACAACTAGTTATATCACTCTCTGGTAGTAAAAACATGTAAAGGTACATAGATATACAATCATGTATATGTACATATATGTTGTAGGTAGTCAAGGACAACGGAGCTTGCATCAATGGCCATTTACTTAAACTTAGAATTATTAAATTTAGCACTTCAACAAAATTGACAGATTGATTTCAACATAAAGATTTGATCAATGAACCCAGCAATAAATGGGCTTCCAATATGGGGAAAGCATAGTCATGTACATGTAATACTAGTACTGGTGTTACAATGTATGTATACATAGCAGTGCAACTAGCTAATGGTTGCTTATTTCTCTTTGTTGTGGTCATTTATGACCTGTTTGTGTCAAATTGAAACTCTTAGGATGAATGATGAAGAAAAAAAGCCCATATTGGGTTTTAATAAAATTAAGGCATTTGCTTTCTTCTGAGTGTATCTGCATCAGCATTTTTTAAATATCAGTCATCTTGTGTGTTATTAAATAGCAGTATGATTTTCACACAATTTATATTCACCCTGCCGAAACACTGCCAAGGATACTGGTGATTATCAGAAAGAAGTTCTCTTTGTCCATGAAAGTGTAATTAAAGAGAAAGTGATAAGGGGCATGCTCTTAAATGAATGGTTGAAATACTTATGGGACAGCTATATGTTTGTATCTTGTGCAAGTTGTGCTTCTGTGGCTAATATATAGGGGGCACCGATGCAACAGTTGCATGCACAGAATGAAATGTTCAATAATCATCAACTAGAAATGTCACTAGTCATTTTTGTGTGTTCAGTAATTACCAACTCTTAATTGAAATGATATTTCTATTTAACATTATAAATAAGTTGCTTAATTTCTTGCTAAGTAATTTTCCCTTCCCTGTACATTGTTTGGAACACTAGAACAAAGACAAAAGAATCACAATGTATGAACTATGATAGCTAAAAAGTTAATGTTTACATTTGGATAAACACACTCTATATAGCTGGACCTGGACCAGGTTTACATAGCCCCATGTAAAGCATGTTGTATGCAAACAAGCTTTATGACATTACTGTTAACACACCTTGAGCTGGCAAAAAAAATCAACATTACTGCTTGAAATGTTTTTAAAGAATTTCAAGCTAATTGTCCTTACATTGTGCCAAGTGTTATGTATAGGAACTACTGCTAGTCTGCACTTTTCTGTCCATTTCCCTACAAACAATAGATGTGGTAAAGCTTCCATACTTTTTTGTTTATTTACTTTAAGTCACATATTAAATTCTATCTGAATCATGTATAAATTGAGAAATAAAAAGAGACATAAATAACATGTTTTTGTTATTTTATCAACTTCATTCAGCAATGTTTTAGCTATTTGTAGAGGAAAAACGTGAAATTGAGTTTAAAGACCAAACAACCATTTAGATCTGGTCATATTTTGACTGCCCATGTGTATCACATACCAATGAGGTTACTCTAACCTTGCTCAAACAACTACTGCACTACCAAGGACTCTAACATCCTCAATACAATTGGTGCCTTTATCTATCACAGTGAGAAAAACGGTAATGAAAGGTAGCAGTTCTGCTAATTAGTATGCTCATTTCCTTCTGATTGCAACAGGAAATGTTCCTCATTACCTGGGCAGAAAACAAGACACACACAACAAAGACACCCAAACAGACCGATTTTATAGCCCCGCCCACCTCCGTAGAAATGCAACTTAAAGAATGTAGGTATTTGAAGAACATTTTGCTACCATTGGTCGAATCACTGATTACCATGCTATCATTGGTTGAACTCCTAATTGCTACCAGATGGACAGCCGTGATCGGTGGCCTAAATGCCATCCAAACAGGTGGCAGGTGCAACGCCCCTCACCGAGATAAGCTTACAGTTCCTCAACTGGCTCTTGTCTAAATATGTTTTAAATGTTTGCCGATTTCTTTGGCAGTTTTGAAAGTTCAAGATCTAGAGATATTATGAAAAGAGATTTAGTTCATTAACGTTATCATGTTCCTTGCCATCCTTGGTCGTTCTAGCCTTATGCGTAGATTTTCTAGCGACCGGGTGTTGTTTCAACAAGGGCAGCCAAGAGTGTTTCTTATCCGAGGAGACCTGTATACGGGGTAGGTTCGTATCATGGGAGAGTTCTAGGTGTTTAGCATACATTTAGCTTCATAAATATCTTCAGTGTGTCTTTGACAGGATGTATCTAACATCTGCTTGGAGTTCAATCGGTCCGCGTGGCTACAAATCCATGACTTTTTCAGTCTATGGCCGGGTAACTCTATTCTCTGCAAAATTATTCAGCCTACTTTTATTGGCGGCAGCCAGTTTCTATATCGTTTTACAGGTAACCAAGGGAGTGTGTATAGTTACAAGTCATTCTTGTTAACAAGATGACAAGATGCGTGAAATTTTGTTAGACATTTGTTAGACAATTTTGGCAAATACCCTTATTCCCCTATTGTACCAAATGACTAAAACATAACGTTAAGTAATGTATACATGGCAGTCCTTAGGCCTACAGTGGGCTGTGGTATTTGTCTGAAATGTTCAGACGTGTTCAACAATATGCCAGAAAATCTCAATCTCGATCCATCTTAACCGTGACAGAAACGGCCGAGAGACGATTTTTGCCACCAAGCTACGCGAGGTTCATCCTCACCAGATAGTTTAAACAACACTTACAGGATTTACAGGACTCTTACAGCTACAACTTAGTATAGATGAGAAAAGCATTGATAATATATAGATGTGATATAGCTCGTTCGGTCGGTAAAATACCCAGCTGCCTCCTAACCGCAAGCCTGCAAATCTGGTATGTTACGCCGAAGGGCGGTTATACCAGCAGTGTAGATTCACTGAGACACAGAAAGGGTACGAGGCAAAGGCGTCGCCCGTGGGGGGAAATCACCGGATGACTCATGGAAACCACCAAGGCACGTGGTTCTGTATCTGAATGGCGCCTCGCGGGCCTGTGGCATTACGTCATACACCGTTGAAGCAAAGGTTTAATAGCTTGCTTACCAAATCTACTATAGCTCCCGAGTCCTACACCCTCTCCGCAAATTGCTAAAGATTTAAAGGGTTAATAGGTCAAAGCATTGTTGGGCGGAGTTGTTCTCGCAAAACCATCACTAGTGGTACAACGATTCAAACTGGTGAGTGATTTCAGACGCAAATGGCAATGATACCAGGTACAATGACAATTTCAAGTGAAGGTCGTGTGTGCAGGGCCCTGGATGACCCAGGGGGTTCCTAGGCCTTGGTATGATTGTAGTGCCTGGTTGAGGCTAAAAGCCTTAAAATATGGTGGACTTCTTTTCGCGGTTTCTGCGGTGACCTCTCCACCACGAAATTATCACACTGTGTGCAACTGTTAGATTAGCGGAGGTATGTGATCTCGGAACTCAGGATAAATGCTGACAACTTTAGTTTGAAAACCTGATGTTAGTAGCAGGCATCGTGACTAAGCCATTCGTGACAAAAACAATCGACTCACAGTCTAAATATAAAACCCACATCCTGTGATATCAAGACATCGACGAAGCTTTATCAAAAGAATCAGGTCAAATTAAGGCCGGGGACAAATGAGAATTCTGGCGGTGAGACAGAATGCCTTTGCTGATTTGCTACGTTGTCTTTCGGGACGGAGAAGAATTTTAATGTTACACAACATATCCATATTGTTGCATCTGTACAAAACATGCCACTGAAACATATACAAGACGACCAATATTTTTGACGCATACCAGTGACGCTCTCGCTGTGCCCGCGACCCGACCTCAAGTCCCCCTGCACGCCCCCACAAGGTAAACACTTTGCTTCTGGCGATTTCTTATGTTGTTTCTACTGTTTCTATGGTCATTAAAGTTTGTTTCCGCTTACTCGATACCTGCGACGTATAAAGCCTGTAGTTGTCGTCAGTGTCAAGTGTCACTACTGACACTTGAGCTGCGCTCCTGCGAAGCACCTGCTGACGCTAACTAAAGTTGGGGGAGAATGGAAAACGCATACCACGAAAGAAGGCGGAGTGCCCAGGTGTTCATGTCAAATTTGACTGGACAACCTGTACTAGTCTGTGTTACTAAGTCTGTGTAACAAACGCCTCTCTCTGGGCTGTAATGACTGCTCTTTTAGGAGGTCGGCGACGGTTGGGCGGGCCGCTAAACTAGTACCATACTTAAATTGGTTAAAATCCCCCGTCATTCATAAAGGTCATTAGATAATATCCACATCTCAGATTAGCGAGACGCTTAAACGTCACTTCTCAAGTTTGTTATGTCGTACATGTAGGACATATATGCATGTTGGCGTCATGGACGGGCAACCATCTTAAGACTCGTATGTAACTTCAAACTCGCTGCTCTACTGAGCCGATTTGGGTCTCTTGGAAGCAGCCCGGACAGTAAAGGTTGCACACAGACAACAAGAAGTATATTTAGACAAGGGGGTGGATGTAAAGATTTTGGTTCGCTGTGTCAGTGTGAAACTGCACATTCCCACAGAGAGAGAGAACAGAGGGACCCAGGCAGGGGGTGAGGATACGCCCACAACTTCTGTTGTCTTGGTCCATATTCAATGAGGTTTAAATGATTAACCTCCTTGATCCATTCATTCCCTTGTTACCGGTAGTCAACATACAAAGACAATTATTGTTCAACAAAAAGGGCTCTCAATGAAATGGGACACCAATACTGTTTTTTTAAATCATTAACAACTATGGGCAGGAAGTATTCCGCCTGAAATCGAAAAGTGGAACTTATGGGTGAAAACCCACCTGAATCAACAACCTAGCCTCACATGGAGATATTTCCTGATATGGGCATTTGGTACACAAGTAAGTTGACGACTTTGTATCGATCAATTGTGCCGCCCGGCGCGACACGTTTGAAGCAGTGTCTAAACACTGGGCGGGGGGATCCCCTGCCGCATTCCCCTCTCAACTCCCAGGGTCCTCTGCATGCTCGGGACTTTCTGACTGGAGAATGAATGACATCATCCTTGGGGATTTCAAACTTATAAATAACACCTCGTGCGTAGAAAAAAACCCACAAGGCATCGTGTCAGACTACAGTCCACAACTGAAAACACTCTCTCCTGCAGAACTGAGGGAACGGACAGGTTTGCGCGAGACCCAGACCAGGTGAGCACTTCAGTTGCATTTCTGCTTCCCTTTAAAATCCTACTCAATAAGATATGGTGAGTCATGAAAATGTCGGAAGTTTTCCAACTCGCAGGTAGTAGCAGTTATTGTGGTGGCGGTGACCTGTTTTTTTTTATCCAGTACGTGGGCAATGGGTCGGATGCATAGCCCTTTGAACTAGACGTGGCACCGCAGTGATCATCTGTACACGCGCACGGTTACATACCTAACTTGACCATTCATTGTCCATTTCATAGCTAACATCTGCAACTTTACTCCCCTGCCTTAAGCTATGTCTAGCTAGTCGTGACCAGCGAATTAAGGTCTGGCATCATGAGTTAAGATTAAACCGGGTGATTCGGCAGTTTTCGAGAAGATAAAATCGCCAAATGGACTTTCCTGATGGCACCACCAGCTAATTGGCGACAGCGCAGTCGACTCAAATTTCCCTCTAGTGCAATTGCAATGCAAGGGGAAACTTGTCCTTCTGTGTCGCAACTGCGTGCAATAGTCCGGCGGTGGCAGATAACCTCCGCCCCCGCAGTGCCCTGCTCACATCGTCCGCTCAGCTACGGGATACCGACTCCAGGTAGACGGGTTTAAGTGATGCATTTTAGTGATTTTTACCCCTAGCGATAGAAACACCACACGTTTTGTCAACCGCACCAAGTTTTTAAAGAACGCCATTGGAGACAAGCCAGTCTAGGCTCAACTATCAATATATAGCGCCGACGACGCAATGAGTTGGATTTTCCCACAACAATTACAAAGTCCCATGATCATGATAAGCCCCTGTTACATGTATGTCGGCGAGACATGGTAAGACTTGTTTTCCCTGACGAGGGACTTTCCAACTGATGCAAAACGCATGTGCATGTGACTATGACATCACCACTTTCAGTTTGGGACTTTTTCCAACGCGGGGTTTTACGCTGGGACAACAGGCTGAGTGCGAGCTCGCCTCGGGTTAGGTTATGTACAAGTGAGCGATTTGACTGTACAATACGACCGGTATCTTGCTAGTAGTGCGTTTAGCTGCGTAACTGGCCTGACTGTACTAGCGGTGTTTTGATACCCGAGTTCTCCGTATTAAATGATTGCAGATATTGCAGCAAATCAATGAGGCTGAATGCACTTCAATATCCTATCCATTGCAAGTGTTGTGTATCCGTCTACACCAGGGTGTTTGCTATCCTCTCCTTACAGAAGTCTGCTTATTGCAAACGTGCTGCACCGACCTATATTTCACAAGCGCGCGAAGAACCAGCAAAGCTTTCCAAGCTTACTTCCGGGTGAGCGCTTCTGACCAATAAGAGTCCAACATGAAAGCGATACTACGTCACTATGCAAATAGCCAGGGGTTCCCCTTGTCACTTCCAAATAAGGCCAAGTCGTACTGGGGCGGAGCATATTATTTTATCACGACAAACCTTACCATGTTTGGCCTTCAACTCATACGTAGGTGTTGTTTTTGTGCCATGCAATAATGACCAAAATGAAATTTTACCCCTACTTGGTCATCACCTCTTTGTCTCTCCATGATATGCGTTGAGTGAAAGTGCAGATACATGTACTTCCCAGTGGGCAAAGCTGGAGGTCTTCCTTTGTCGCCGCGCGTGAGAGCGTCAGGCACACAATTACAACATATCGATGAAAAGAATACGTGGTACGACAAAGATTGCGTCTTATAGGTGATAATATTTTGACAAAGGCGACCATAAAAAAAACACCAGCCAAAGTACATAAAGAAAAAGAGAAAGCCAAAGTCTGAACGTTAACGCCATTCGAATTGTTTCGCCTTTGAAAGGTCCTGATTGGGTCTGAAAGTCGCCTTCCAAGACGCTGTTCGTCCGTAGATGTCTGTACCAGTAGACGTGACCGTATCATCATGACTTTCACTTTTGGTTTACCTCAGGTGACCACGTGACTGCTGCATTTGACCTCGTCTTCCTCGGTCTATCACTCACGGAGTCCCACACGCCAGCAGTCGGTATGGCCAGTTTCCCAGTCAGCCTGACCGCCTTGGATATGTATGCAGTCGAGGACGGGGTGAGTAGAGCTTATAAGTTTTGCAACTACAGTAAAATAATCCAACACAATATTATGGAGAAGAGTAAGGGTGACGCGGTGTGCTTGGCTAAATAGTGATCCGTAGCGAAGCCACTGGTGATTGCACTAGTGATGGTTACCGGCGAAAAAGCATTATGCTTCACCTCAGCTGAGGACGGCAAAAGAAGACCTTTTTCAGCCAATCTCTGTCTACCATTGAGCTCACTACATGATGATCTTGAAACAACGAACGAAAAACAGCGAACTTCATGTAGTACACAATACCTGATGTTTTTTTCTTGTAGCTGCTTTCCACATGCGGTTATTTTGGCAACAATGACATATGAAAGAAAGGTGCCGGATCAATATAACCAGTGCACCAAACATTTCGGAGTAAACCTCGCCACTTGTACACTAGTCACATTGATCGATACCTTTATGACGCTTCACTAGTGTCAAAACAACCACATTGGTGCAAATAAATAACCACACATGGAAAACAGCCCACTTTGAGAAAGACGGGCATTGCGTACATGTAGTTCAATGTACGTTAATCTACCTATCGTTGTTTCATGATTCTAAATTAAATTTCCTTGGTTTAAGGTTGACTTTTACATTTGTACGAAAAGCAACCGCCTGGAAACTAGGTGCCTGAGAACATCTTATAGAAGACTGTTGGTTTGTTTCCAAGAACTTGCGCATGCCCTCAGAGAAGAAATAACTGTGGACTTAACTGTTTACGTTTCTTACCTGTATCTGGCTCACCGTGGAAAACAAACGCCTTTTCAGCAAATATTTTATTTACCACTGAAAAAGGAGAATTTCCCCATTTCACTTCCTCAGGCTGGCAATGTTCGGGAGGCTGGCATATTTTTGTGTGTGTAAAGTTACGCGGGACATGCTAGGTGAAAATGTAAAGAAATGTAACGTTATGGTGTTATAGCCATTTCGATTTTGGCGAGAGGAAAAATTATCAACGCAATATCTGATAAATTTGGAGTAATATCTAACAGTAGTCCTTACTTGTTTTTAGCTTAGTTACCAGCCCATCAGTACTATAGTGTCTGAGATCATCAACGACCTGAGTCCCATGATGCAACAGGACGGCTTCACCTTCGAGGAGGAGGTGGTGACGTCATCAGAACAGGACAGCACAGAACGTTTCGTGGAGCTGCAAGGTGGGTGAAATATTGAGGCTGTCTTACTTCCAAACTGAAGCGATGAAAGAGAGAAATGTTACCACCGAGAGGTTTCAAGAAAGTTTTCAAAAGTTTGAGTGGGTCACGTTTTACTACATGTAAGTCTGGTCATGGGGTGTCGAAGTCGGTACTACACTGTAGTACGCAAGACCGCAAGGTTAAATGTATCCTTAAGTAACGTTTCAGTAGTCAACCATTCATTTATATCCTCATATTTTGGGTAGATGGCACGCGTGTACCGTAGTGACCAAGCTACTGTCTTTTCAGCGCTACCCTCACATATCATCATTCGAGTAAAAACGAAAGTCTTTCAGTCTTTCCACCTACGCGCCTTTCTACAGATCACTTTAAGATGTTCCGTACTTTAGACCATCGTTCAGGTATGTGCGTGTGTCGGACCGTGGGTGGCTCACACGTTTCTGCTGGGTCATATGACCACGACGTATTATTGGCTTGAACAATGCAGAACAAACATGACGAAACCGCCAGCGAAAATAACCAGCTTTTGTCCTTGCCAAAAACAGTTTTGTCAGCGGATACCAATCCCATGTGGGGGTGTCAGAAAAAAGAGGAACCAACCCAGTTCAGACCAGTCTACAGTCCCGACGGGTACAGAACGGACCAAGACTTCTGCATTCCCACAAACAGCGTTTTTTCAGCACAGGTCAGTCCTTTTAGACATTCCGGGGGAATTTTCGTTAAGTTTGTTGTTAATTCATAGAGAGTTTTTATAGCATAGTTGGGGAACTTGTAGAGACAAGGTCATTACAGAATGTCCGGGACGTTTGCCGGAAGTTTGTTAAAACACCATGTTGACTTTAGTTCCCTTTCGTCTGATCTCACAAAACTCCTTCCCGTTTCTTCATGCTCTACTTTCACTCTCTCATTCTTTCCTTCCTCCTCGCCTTGTCCTATTCCTCCGACAGTTTCAAATGCTTGCTCGATTCCTTGCTCTTTTTTTTCTTTCATGATCATGATTTCTCTCATCGTCCAGATCGGTGTAATTAAACTGATTGCTTTACCACCCCTCCTTCTTCTTCTTCCGTTTTGTTTGATTCTATTGATAGAGAATTGCGAAACTTCCCTCTCTTACTTCCTCTTTTCCCATGCCATGCGTTGGGCACACAAGGGTTTTTCCTGTATCTGTATACGTGTACGTGACGAGGGAATAATTTAAAGGGAAAATGTCATCATACACTAATGACAGAAATAATGGTCAACCTTTTGTGTACCTGTGGTTGATAAAGCAGCCTGAGCCCCGAATAACGATAGTTTTGTTCTCTAGTCCCGAGGTTACCGCCCAGACGGGTACGACAGTGACGGCATGACCCCCAGCAGCGGCAGCGAGTCCCCCGCGTCCTCCCGCAGCAGCTCCGCCAGCTCGGACGATGACGAGGACTACGTCCCCCTGGAGATATCCGACGACGAGGAGGTTCGTCAGTCTTTACTGTTACAACTCAAGCTCAGCCATAAAAAATGTTGCCAAGTTACTTTTTTGGTTTCGTGACTTTCGTTATTAGGTCGTCATCTCAGATTTTGATTGGTGAAATGATAGATTGATAGATAAATGGATTAGTGAATGAATATATTATCAAACTGTTTTGGAATCATTCTTATAGTTGAGTTGTTTGTAAGTTAATCGATTTGTTGATCGTTATCTCAGGAGGCAGAAGACGAAGTCCCCTCACCTAAGTGGCCCTGCAGATACAACCCGGGCGGCTTCCACACCAGGATCCCCTCCTCGCCATCCAGTAAGTGTTTCTTACTGAACGTAACGGGATTAAGATAATCGTAGACATTCTTAGGTTTATGTTACTCATGTCCTTTTAGGCAGCGACGAAGACAAATCGTGAGGAGAATACACCGAAAAAATGCACACAAAGATGTAACTTGTGATCAATGTTCAAATGAACTGGCGAGCCTGTTTTTCTCGTCTCCACTCCTTGCCCTTGGGCTCTTTGAAAGGCGCGACTACTAGTAATCGGTATATAAATTTATTTTCTCCCCAGAGAGAAGACACGGCCAGCCAATCCTGTGGAAGTTCCTGTACGAGATGCTGATGGACCCACAGTACAGCAAACACATCTACTGGACCAACCAGAGCAAGGGCATGTTCAAATTCGCCTCCGAGAAGAAGGTTAGTCTGAGTATCTTGACTTTCTGTTATAGTGGAAAATGGCATACATCCATGCCAATGCCCTGATGATTATGAGGCTGAAAGAACATGCCCTTTGAGTTACATAGAAAATCTCGCCATTTAGAAACCTAAAAAAATACATTTGTACTACATTTCTACTACCTAATACCACAACAAATTAACCCACTTATCATTCAAAACGATGGGACTACTGCCACAGCAAAAGAGAAGGCAATCCGTAATATACATAGAAACTGTAAATATTTACCTCTTTGCGTCATAGTACCTAGATGTGTTCTCTTGTGAGTAGCCAGCCTTGCTTCGAGCATGAGTTTGTGAATGATAAATGCAAATTTTTCAAATATTATTTTAGTGGCAAATGCTTGGATTCCAAGTAATGAACTGACGATGTTTTTATCGCTTGTGATCAGGAGGAGATTGCCCGGATGTGGGGTGAGAAGAAGGGGAACCGCTGTGTGATGACGTATCAGAAGATGGCGAGGTCACTGCGGAACTACTCCAACCAGAAAAGGCACCTGGTCAAGGTCAAGAGGAAACTCCAGTACCAGTTCCTTAGCGACTCACTAGTGGCCAGGGCTTAGAGGGGGGCTTTGGAGGTTGATGAGTATTTTGTATACAAGTGTACGACAAATTTACCCAAAATTATATACTCAACTCATAAAGCATAGCTATAACGTTATATGTTTTCTCAGCCTGGGGAATTTTCCGGTTTGTTTGTCTGTTTAACGTTAATAGCTATCTTCGTGATCATTCCTGAAAGCTGTTATCAGTTATATTCAAAGCGAACCTCTCTGATGGCTAAGTATATTTTAAGGTGCCAGCGATGTTTTGTCTGCGCCATGACGTTTGAATGATTTTGTACTAATGACCGAATGACACATGAGGCTGATACCATGAACTCCAGAAAATGGAGATGGAACTCTCGTGTGAAGAAGACCCGTCTAGTAACGCCGTTGGCGCGCATTCGTGTATGTGAAAGTCACAGCCTAGTACCGTAAGATAAGGAACGCTATTTGCGTCAATGGTTTATTGTTTTGTATAAGGTTAGAACGTGGTGGAAGTTTGGTAAAACCAGTAGACTTTGAGCAGGCTCTGTGTGTTCTGTTAGATGGTGAAAATAAACCTTGCTGGCATGGTTCATTTTTAGTTCTGCCTTTGTAACCAGTAAAGTTAACCATACTTTCTCAAAGTCAGACTCTGTATAGTCCGGATGTTCATTTTGTATTCTCTTCTTATATTTTCTTTTCAATAAAATAAAAATTGGTGCAAAGCAACATCCACTTCGTACTGGTCATCCCTTGATCAACTTCCGCAGCAGGAGCAGAGGATCTCTGGATACTAGTATCACTTGTGAATCGAGTTGTAAAGTTGTCGGTATTGGTCGGGTTGTTGTCACGGTACGGCAGTGGAGTTAACTTGATCAGAACGATACATGCACGTCATATGATTCAGTTGTATGAAGAAGTATGACTGAATTTTGAAAACAGCAACACCTGTGTGTCTGCACCACGTGCTCACGACTGCTGTAATCCATGGCCAAAGGGTGTCGTACACAGGGAAACCCCAAATCAGCCCCTGGGTACCGGGTATGAATGAGTCTGTTTTAAGCCTTCCGGCTTGTTACAACCGACCGTCTGTTGTCGCTCCCGGTTTATCAAATTTGTAGGGAAGTCTTCCGTTTTGCCTCCCAGATCAGATAAAACCTGAAGGAAGACTTCCCTGTTTTCCCAAAGGTCCGTATTGTTGCTTCAGTGTGATTTTCACACAGTGGTAATACCAAGGGGAAGTACGTTGGTTCTGCAACGAATCTTTTTTCGTCCAGTTGCAAAACATCGTTGTATTGATACTTGAGTCGACATATGATGTGTCTCGATCTCGCTTTCGACGTCCATGATATGTGTTTGTCTTCCTGTTGACATTTTATTTAGATCACTTCGAAGGCACGTACGCAATGCAATTTATGGGCGGCACACACCCCCCAAACAAAGAGACGCATCATGCACGTCGCTTGTTTGGAGCTACACACTCTATATGTGCCCAGGAAATGGCAGTATCAGACACTTTTCCCTTTGTTTTGCCACCCTGAAGTTGCATTGGATGCATTTAACGCAAAATTGTAGACTTCATATGTACCACGATATTAAACAAGAGGCTGATGTGATGCGCATGCATGTGTACTCTATTCACTATTGCATGCCAAAACTCATGGTGCGTTTTATTAAACGTTACAGCGATGAATGAGTCAAAAGCTAGTATTAAAGCGTCTAGAGTATACGTCTCCATGACACATCTTTAACGTTATAGCGTTAAGTAATCCATAAGCTGATTGTTTGAGGACATGCTTTAACCATTGCGTGACATGCAAGCTCAGCAAAATCATATCACTAGCTCTCCATTTGCTTCACCTGCGATTGTTGGTATCACCGCTAGGAGCGCGATTAAATCAAGTCTTCGCCCCGAGATTGACCTCAAAATGACCTGTCATTATTTTGAGGGAAAATCAAAATGGCGGACACGGGTGTAAATTCTTTGGCTTGAGACACTTTCCTTGATATGGCGATTATTCCATAAGTCTAATCAATCACTGCCCCGAACTTGGCATAATGATTTATCAGTTTCTGTACTCTATTGTAGCTCTATGTTTTGGCGTCTCGGTGTTTGTGCGGTATGTGAATGATGGCATGAGTTTCGGGTTCCGTTCGGCGCTGAGTTTGCTGGTGCTGTTTCTCGGCGAGCCGTTCTGTCACCATGTAGTCGGCGAGTTTGGAGGACTCCTGCTGTACGGACTGGCCTGTGTGGTCATGTACATGGTACTGCCTGCTGGGGAGGTAGCGCTGAAGGACAGAGTCGTGCTCATAACAGGTATATTTTAAGTTGCTTACAGTAAGACTAGTAAGAGTACACAAAGGAGGAGGGGCCAGGTGTGAAACATGCAAATTATGATTTATTTACTGTATGCAACATTTTGCAAATGTACCAAATTATGCGAAATGCGAAAGTTTCACGATTTACAGTAATCCCCAACTAGTACAGTTGCATGCTAGGACAAGTTGAGCATCTGCAGCTACTAACGTTAATAAGTTAATATCTACAGGGCCCCAGAAAGTGTGAAATGGAACGAAAGAAATAATACAGTACCGTCCCCGTTATAGATTTGTAAATATTTTGTGCCATAGATGACAAAATGTGAACTCATGCATTGAAATTCACTTATCTGCAAGGATAAAAGCAATCAAAATGTAGTTGTATACTAGCCATATTCACAGTCACATGCCACAGCGCAGTAAAATTTTCCAGTGATCCAGGTCAACTTAGGTGTTTCTAACCTTGTATTTTCTAACCTCTACCCCCCCCCCTCCAGGATGTGATAGTGGATTTGGCTGTGCCCTAGCCCAGCACCTGGATAGCCAGGGCTGTGTGGTGTTTGCTGGCTGTCTCCATGGTGATGGGGAGAGGGCCACCAGCCTCACAAGCAGCTGCTCAGCTCAGCTGAAAATTCTGCAGCTGGATGTGACAGATGCCCAGCAGGTGGATCAGGCCAGACAGGCAGTACAGGAGTACCTGGGACCAGACAGAGGTGGGTTCTGTTGGAGTCACGTCAGTCAGTCTTCTTGTGGACCCATCTTCCATTGGATGGGGTCACTAAGGCTTAGTGCAGTTTCATCTGACGGTCCAACCATTCCATGTTGTTCTTACCCATGTTTTTTAGTTTTGCACAATAGTTATATAACCTGCTACACACCCAGAGGCCTTACTTGCCAACATCCGACACTCCACCCAGGTGTAACATGTCCTTATTGCCTCAAAAAGGCTATGGGACTACGTTTACTTCTTACCTTTAGGTCAGACTAATTTAATTTCTTGGTTCTCGGATTCGCCTCTTTGTTTTTTTCTGATTTGCAAAAAAAAAAAAAATTATTCTGGTTCTGAATCAACTGAAAAATGCTCATGTTTTGCCCTCAACAGTTGAGAAAAGTCCTTCCTAGTTGTTACAGTTTTCCCATCTATCATTGCAGTGGTTTGATTAAAAGTTCAAAATTCAATGTTTAAGTTTTAACCCAGCGCTTTGAGTTGACTTCATGGCTCATTTCGTAGCATTTAAGCCTATAATAGGATGCCTAGACCTGTTTTTATTTTTATTTTTTTTCGCCCTGTCGCTTCATATTTTTTCTGAAAAAATCCGAGAACCAACAAATTAAATTGGTGTGGCCTTATAATGGAAAAATGGTTGACTGGTGTGATATCTGTTGCAGGTTTGTGGGGTTTGATAAACAATGCTGGCCTGGTGTACTTCGGTGAGCTGGACCTCCTCCCCTTCTCCATGGTTCAACACAGCATAGATGTGAACCTTGTCGGGATGTTACGTATGACCAAGACCTTCCTCCCTCTACTGAGGAAAGGGAAGGGCAGGGTCATCAACATGTCCAGCATTGCAGGTGTGACATTTTAAGTAGTGTGTGACATGTTACAATTAAAACATAACAGTGTATCCAGTACAGTACAATACAATATGATAATATAATGTCTTGCCCATTTGAGTTATTTGTACTTTACATGGCACTTATTTTGACCCTATGAAAATGAATGTTGACATCCTTTTCTGTAGCAGCTTGTCTATACATACCAGTAATGTCATGTTGTAGGCATTTTTCCATCTCCAGAGATGATGGTAGCACTCTAAGTCTGGTGTTGTGGCAGTGTGCATGCATAATGTAATCATGTAGTTTTTAAATGTAGTTTTCTCTCTAAGTGTGTAGTAACCTTTTTTCTACACATATAAATGGTGTTCTGGTACACAGGCCTGTCCTCTGCAATTATAGTACAAGAAGTTATTTTTTAGTTAGCTACTGTACTATCATGTCCTATCCACAATTTGCCCTTGACAGGAAGTGTTCCGCTGATGTTCATGTGTGCGGAGGGAGCAGCCAAGGCAGGGGTGGAGGCAGCGTCCCACATCCTGCGACAGGAGCTGAAGAAATGGGGGGTTCATGTGTCCATTGTGCAGCCATTTGCCTTCAAGACAGGTGGGAGTTTTGAATTTTGCTACCGATAGTACCTCTGGTAAGCCATAGGTTCATATTTTTCTGTCTTAGTTCTCCAAAACAAAACTGGATCAACCATTAACTGTTGTGTTGTTCGAACTTCTAGAATGGCAAAGTTCAGAGTCCATGCTGAAGAACTATAACCAGATCAGACAGACCTTGGACAAGGACACATTGGACGCCTATGGTCTGGACTACCTGGATGCTTTCAAACATAACTTACTGAATGAGGAGTCCTTGAATGAAGACCTTGGCCAAGTTATAGGTATGTTTTAGACAAGACAACACTGTGACAGCAGTGTACTCTTCAGTGTGTTTCAGAGATTTCTAGTCCAGAAGTGTTTTCTACATACACATCTATTTGTGTTTTGTAAATTTGATCATATTATGATACATTTACATGTAAGTTCCATGTCTGTTGGTGAAAATCTAGTTTTTTTTTTTACTTTGGAATTCTTAGTCTTGAAGAAATCCTTATTCCACATGACCTTGTAAGTGCTGAGATGTTGTTTGCTTCCGTGCAGGAGCTATGACAGATGCGCTGACGTCCAGAGGTCCGCGGGCCTGGTATCCATGTGGGCGGGGCACCCGGTCACTCGTCTGGTTATCCAACCTTCTACCCACCAGCATCCTGGACATGATACTACCTCTTCTAATGCTCCAAATAGACGTCACACCAACTCGGCTCAGAGAAAGATAACAGTGGAGCTAGGATTGTCATCTAGTACATCTCTAGAATATGTAGTAAACCAAGTTTTTAGTGTTGTCACTGCCACAGATACATGTATGTACTGTCAAAACTGACCTAGAAGACCACACAGGGAACCAAATGGTTGTTATAGCCAGTATTCTTAATGCTTGTGTTAATGGGAAAAATTGTCTAAAGGGACCACCAATTTGACCAAAAACACCATTTTGACATTGGCCAGGTGTTTTTTATGTAGAGATGGTCACTTGTGCAGATAAAATGTAAAATTGGCTGTAGTTATTGACAATATGATGTAGATGTTGTGTCTAGCATGGCAGGAAAACAATGACTAGTAATCTTACATACTTTATTTCACTGAACATATGGTGAAGGTACAATACGGAGCAGTATTACTAGAGCAGTGTTACTAACTAACTCGTGCAAATTTGATTTTATGATGATATTTTGTAAAGAACCGTAGATGCAAGACTGAGAAAAGATCTCTTTTTGTCAAGGATGTTCTGAGAGATGTGGTCATTAGTTGATACTGGTAGTTTCATTACAGTTAGGCCACACCAATTTAATTTGTTGTTTCTTGGATTTGCCCGCTCCATTTTTTTTTAAATTTTCAAAAAGAGAAGATTTTAGGTTCTGAACTCCAAAATGCTCAATGAAAGACATATTTTGGCCCAAATGGTTGAAGAAAGTCCTTCCTTTTTCCCCAATGTAACTTTGTTTCATTAAAAGTTCAAAATCTATTGTTTTAGTTATAAACCAGCCTGGTATGTTGACTTCATGGCTCATATCGTAACATTTTCGGGTATCATGGGGTGGCGTGGCCTGTTGTTCTTTTTATTTCGCCCTGTCGCTTCATATTTTAAAAAAAAATCAGAGAAACAACAAATTAAATAGGTGTGGTGTGGCCTTATGCAGTAGTTGTACAAAGAAAACTTGTAGGTGTAATTTATACAAAAATGTATGTATACATGTATCTCAGGTTATTATTGGAATGATTCTATTTATCTATTTATTTATTGCAAATACATGTGATGTGCCAATTCATTAAGAAATTTTCCACTTCTTACATTTCTTCACAATAATAAAATACAAAATGTATCTTCAATATTCATGTAAAATTGTATACTCACTTTCTTTAAATACATTATTGAATTAAAGCATTCTAGACTCAACATTATTAATATTGCTTCTGCAGTACCAAGGATCCAAATTGTAAATATTTCTTTGATGGGTAAAGACCTAAAACAAGGAGGTTAGAAAAACCAAATTTCATCCATAGTCTCTGTTATATCCTCTTTGAGCACAACTATCCAAGGAGGTTAATCAAACACACAAATGCTATCAAAGACAAGGAGGTTCTATCTTGGAAAAACCAAGGGCATGATGTCCTTGCAGAAAACAACCTTCCAGCAATGTGCTTCAAGGCAGAAGGTACTATTAGCCTTGACTGGTGGAGGCTATACCGTAATGTATTCCAACTGCAGTATGATTACTTGACGCAAGGTGGCGTGGCAACAAGTAACATCCGGGTCCTTCTCGCTGTTGCTGTCCGTGAACCAAAATGGCGCCGCCGGTCGCAGTTTCTCCTCTTATCAAGGTAAAATTTGCTCTTTCTTGCATTTTTCTCCCCATAATCTATAGAATTTTACAACTTGTCTAATCTACGTATTCTACAGAATGTACTGCGAATTGTATTCTGTGCTAAATGTTGTCCTTTTTGACTGTAAGGCCGATTTTTTGGTCCAGAGCTTGACTGCATGAAGGTCACGAGATAATTTTGGTCATGAAAATTTTGATGTCTTTGATGCCATCGACTTTCTTGTCAGTTACGAGTAGTATATTTTTGTTCCGTTACACTAGTCTATATACAACACTGGTCACAGCCTTTGGCTGTCTTGAAAACTTTGCTGTGCTCATCAGTGATAACAAATGTCATACGTACTAAAATATGAATTTAAGAAATTATTATGGAGAACTTTTTTCTTCAAAAGTGCTCGCTCTTTAATACTAGTTCTACTATTAGGAAACGGCCTGTTACCCAAAAATTATTGTTAACAAAATACGTTATGTTGTACATTTCAGTTCTCGCGCTATGCTGCCCTCTTCGTGGGAATCGCATATGGCTCCAGGAAAAATGGTATGTTGAATGTCAACCCGTCAGTAGTGCAGCTCGGATCAAGAAGGTTTAGTTATTTTAAGGTTATACAAGTTATAAGTATAACCTCCTTGGTTACTTAAATCTCCTTGCTCAAAATACATTTTTTTATCAGAGGCTCCTATTGTGCAGTGTACAAATTATGTATCTGGATTCACACAGTGACGGCCATAAAGCAACAGCTTACTTACATGTACATAGTATACTGTAGTAACTCTGCAAACTTTCAAACTCATTTATGGATGGGGTCCTAATTTTGATTTCCAGCCAGACTAACAGTCTCAGAGGCAGAGGTCCGCAAAATTGAAGAGAAGCAGAAAAAGGAGAGAGAGGAACGCGAGAGGATTGCCAAGGAGTTGGCAGGTGAGCTGGTCTGAATGTCATGGTAGTGTTTGACATTAGCATGTGTATGCAGGTCAATGATATATGTTTTTTATGGGAAGTTGAAATGCCATTATGACTTACAGAAAATGGCTTGCAGGCCCACCTTATTGAAGCTTAACTGGAAATTTATGGAAAGTCTAGCAAAAGCTGATACTTTTAGGCACATGCATTTCAGTGTCACAGTAACTGTTTGAGTGACTAACTGGAATTTTTTTTCCTCACAGCTGCTAATGAAGACACCATATTGAAGTAGTGCAGCCCACATCTTGAAGTTTTCCAGAACCCCATTCAGAAGAAGATTCCACCATACATTGTGTGTACTTGCAAAAAAGCTGGGTCTAACTTAAGAACTGCAGATTTGTTCCAAATATGAAGATGTTCACTACTTCTGGGATAAAAACCCTGTAGTCATTGAATTTCAATCTCCTTAATATACAAGATGTACTACAATCCTTTGTGTATACTTTGTCCTGAAAGGTGTGTTTCAAAGACCATATTATGTTTGACCTTTCATGATCACACTAATAAAATGTGTCAGTGAATCTGCATCCCTGCCTCCCTTGTCCTTGCATACTTTTGCATAGAAATTGCTGTGCAGGAAGTACTCATATAACAGACTGGGAAGGACAGCATTGAAAGCACAAGACCAGATTCTGTCACATCTGTAAATGTATTCAATACAACCACTGGACGGACACTGCATCCTACTGCTTTGCTGTGAGACTTAGACTGTAGACACATTTTTGTCATTCTGTGCACTTAATATAGACATTATACATTGCCCAGTGCCTGTGAGAAGTTTGGGGAAGTCACAGACTAATACTGCAGAAAATGGGACAGAGTTTCATAACTCAAAATATTCTTGTGATTTACAATTCAATGCAGTTTATGTCATACACAAATACTCAGCACTCAACATATTATACCTATTTCATAGCCTGTGTCCAACAAAACTCAGGTGCTGCACACTTGTAAAGAGTCAGAAAATTGTAGGAAATAACTCAGTTTACAACATCACTGCACCATTATATAAAAGTATATAACTTGTCTCAAATATTCTTTATAATCTGTCACACCAAAATATACAACCTCAACATTTAAGAAAAATGAACTCCAACAAAACTCACTCATATTACATGTATATGATGCAATATTGAAAGCTTTATAACTAATGCAATGAAAATACACTTTCGTGAACTTGAAGTTACAGATTAAGTCCTATCTAGCAGCTGCAAGCTGAGCAAATAAATGTCAACACTAATAAATAGATAGAAGTCAACGCTACTGAACAAAACTACCATGACCAATGTAGTGCTATCATAGTCACACTTGTGCACAGAACACCACACACACAACTTCCAAACACCTTTCAGCTACATGTACCAATGTTTCAGTTTGCCTTCCTTTTAACAATGAAGTACAATTGAATCATGCAAGAAAGGCACTGCTGGTAGGAATGTTGATCTTGAAAATACAGAACATGTCAGTTTTGTTTTGGAAGCGCATACTTAACAATTCATTGGAAATACTAGTAGTAGAAGGCACAAACTATTGTTAGCTTCTTTCCCAATGGACAGGTACACATGGGGTATCGAAGATTTACACAGCATGAGCCTTGCTACCAGAAGACTCATTTCCTTGTGAATAAGTCTGTGTACTCCTTGGAGTCGATCCTCTTGTTGTAGTTGTCGATGCCTGCATTTACCTGGCGGAGGTAGTCGGCAACAAACTGATCCATGTCTGCAAAAGTGTTAACAATAGATGTGTCAACAATAGATGAACTGGTCAGAAATATGGGGAATGTAAAAAAATTTAAGAAAAAAAAAACATGAAGAAGGTGGATAAATTTCATGAGAAAAGGTACAAGTTGTACTGACGAGGGTGTTTGTCTGCCTTCTGCCCGTCCATACTGATGTAGCTGGTCCCGTTGTAGTACCATCCTGCAGGCAGTGGCTCCAGGTGATGCTTCCTCTGTACACACAAAAACACAGGTGGTCAAGAACAGCTCTTCACTCAAAGGAGAAAGTGTCAAGTACATGTACTCTACTGTAACACATGGCTATTCAAAGAAGTTATTTTTTCACGAAAATTTCCCCCCAGCAGCTTGTTTCAAAACTACAATCACATCAATCTAAATCCTATGAGGTTTGTGCTTTCCAAATACTGTCCAGTTGCTCACTACTTACATGAATGTTTGCCATCTCCTGCTTGCTCAGGCTCTCCTTTGTCCTGTAAGCCTTCTTCTCTGGTTTCTGTATGAACAACAAGATGTTAATTACTTTATGGTACACTCTTTAATCTCAATTTCTTTAGCATCAATAGAAGATCTGGTTCATGTACATATCATAAACAGTTCTTCTAACAAATGTGATACTACAGTTGGACAAAAACTTACGGCATTGCGTTAAGATGATTCTACACTAAAGAAGGCAATTGATGTGATTAAGAATACACTGAGATGTGTTGTGTTGGAAGAAGGATGAATTTGTTTACAAAGATGTGTACCTGTCTGGTGCAAGCCCTGAGCCAGGGTCTTCCAGTACCTCCTCCTGCAGCCCACAGCCAGTGAACACCACGCAGAAGTCTCCATCTGCAGTGTCATGCTCTGTCTCCGAGGCAACCATGGTCAGGTAGCCGCTCTGGGTAACGTGGAGGACTTCATACAGCTTGGGGGAGTCCAGGAACTTGACATGCCCCTTGGTGCAGTACACGTTGCCGTGGAACGGGTATGGAGATAGAGCTGACTTCAGGGCTACAGTACAAGAAGATACAAACAGTTACACTTCACCTTGCATGTGTGTTCTCTTTTCTCAGTCACCCACTTACAGACTCATGGTCTGTTATGAATAGCTAATTTGTAACAACAAGATGGTAAGAGTAAGATGGTACAAGTACATACAAAAGTAGACTAAGGTTAGATATAACCAAAATATGGAACACATGTACCATAAGGCAGCCGTGTCCCTTGCTAAATTTCATATATACTAATTAACTTGAATGGTAAAAATATCCTGTGGCCTGATTTCTTTTAAGAAAAATTTTTTAAAAATTCACATGATTTTCATTTCAATGCACTGTCAGACAGAGTCAAGGTGTCCCTGACCTTTACACTTGGCCTGGAACTTGATTCTGTCCAGGGGTAGTGAGAAGTAGATACAAATGTCCTGCATGCTGGGGGAGGGTGGGGAAGACTGCACCCGGCCTTGGGACCTGCACAAGGGTAAAAAACACTGTATATAGTATCACATCTTTGGCAGAAGCAAAATTTGACAACTGTAAGATATCCATCTGTTCTTTTCCATTTGCAGGTACGTACCATCCTGGTGTTCCCAGGTGCCTGAGCTGAGCCATCTTGGGCTGACTGAACATGGTCTCAGACAGGATCAGCTCCACATCTTCTGACCTGGAAACACACATCACAGTGGTTACAATTGATGTGGTGAGTTGAAGTTAACCAGGTCTGATTTAGGCAAAGCAGTGTCACAGGCAAACAACAACCTTTGGAGAGAACATGTCTGCCACCGTCGATCTATGCAACAAAGTTGTGGGAAAATCTACATGTACCATCTAAGGTAAGTGCTAGGGCTGCGGACCGGTACACTGTACCGGTCCAATACCGTAAAAATCGTTTCGGTACAGGTCCAAAATACCGGATCATGACGTAACGAGTATATACCGAAATAGCTAGTTTACACCATGTATATGACTAAAGATAGGTAAATCCTACCACAAAGACGAAAAATTAGCACTGGAAAAGACGTAAACACCGTCGATTGATTTGAGATCCTCAGTCTCACGAGACATTGCGAGAGTGTGGCTAATCCAGGGTTGTGATTGGTCAACAAACTCAAATCAGGTCATAAATAAAGATACTGACAAGTTGTCAACACTTTATTATTGTTTCTGTGTCATGATTGAAAAAGTGAAGAGCACGTGTTAATTTGTCAAATTGTTCAGGTACAGGTACAGGTCCGGACCTGTACCTAAACCTCTGTACCGGTACCTGTACCTGTACCTGATGTTACGTTTAGGTACGCAGCCCTAGTAAGTGCCATAGGCTGATTAAGTATCTATCATGATCGCCCTGACACTCACTAAATGCATCTGAGGTGAAAATGTTGCATATCCATGAAAATTGACCGTACTCTCAAACCCTTATCTGATGACAACCAACGCTGTACCTTGTAACCTCTCCCCTTTCAGCCAGGACAAAGGCAGCGTCAGGGTTGACAGCTCGGACCAGATGCTGTGTGACCTCCAGCTGGGGGTTCTGGGATGGAAAGTCAAGGTCATGGACTAGGATCTAGGTTCTATAAAGTAGCAACAAGGGAAACAAAACTGACACCACCGCAAATTTCGAACACTGTCAGTGAGTCACAAGATCCTTCATACATAT